AGCACTCTACCATTTGCACCACAGCGATGCTTCCAGTTTTCTGATGGTTTATTGGAGATAAGAGTCTCACAGACTTTCCTGCTCTGGCTGGCTTTGAACTGTGATCCTCAGATCTCAGCCCCTTGAGTAGCTAGGATTACAGGCATGAGCCCCTGGCGCCCAGCTGCTGCTGCTGCTGCCTCTGCTGCTGCTGCTGCCTCTGCTGCTGCTTCTTCTTCTTCTTCTTCTTCTTCTTCTTCTTCTTCTTCTTCTTCTTCTTCTTCTTCTTCTTCTTCTTCTTCTTCTTCTTCTTCTTCTGTCTCACAGTATATTCTTTTTTCATTTTGTTGGTTAGGGGCTTGAACTCAGGGCCTGAGAGCTGTCCCTGAACTTTTTCTGTTAAAAGCTAGCACTCAACTACTTTGAGCCACAGTGCCACTTCCATTTTTCTGGTGGTTAATTGGAAATAACAATCTTAGACTTTCCTGCCCAGATGGTTATCTTCAGATCTCAGCCTCCTAAGTAGCTAGGATTACGGGCAGGAGCCACCAGCGCCCGGCCAAACCTATAGCCTTTTTTTTTTTTTTTTGCCAATCATGGTGCCTGAACTCTGGGCCTGGGCGCTGTCCCTCAGCTCTTCAGCTCAAGGCTAGTGTTCTACCACTTGAGCCACAGCACCACTTCCGGCTTTGTTCTTTTTGCTTATGTGGTGCTGAGGAATCGAACCCAGGGCCTCATGCATGCAAGGCAAGCGCTCTACCACTGAGCCACCTTCCCAGCCCCACCTATAGCTTTTTTGTAGTCCAGATTGACTTTGACCTCATGATCCCTCTACCTCAGCCTCTAGAGTGCTGGGATGATAGGTGTGAACCACTATGCTTGGAGAGAAACATTCTTCTGTTGGTCTTTTGGTTTTAGTTTTGGTTTGGAGAGGACTCAAGTGATCCTCCTACCTCAGTTGCCTGATCAGCTGGACCACAGGTGCCAGAAGTAGGCAGGCCAGTAGTAAGGCCAGAAGTACAGGAAACATGAGCCAAAAGAGAAACAGTAGGCCTGGTGAGAAGAGGGAGAGAAAAAAAAACGAAGGTTGTTGTTTGTGAATTTCCTTCTTTGCATAAACTGGGAAAACCCCAAAAAACACAAGAGAAGTGGGAAAAACACAGCAGTTTCAGGCTGAGAAAAGTAGAGTCTCAGACACCATGCTGATTCTGTCACCCTAAGAAAACACTGAAGTTGTCTGGGTGTTCTGCTCCCCTGCCTTCAAATCAAGGAGAAAGAGACTGTGGTCATCACATTCCACCTCACTGCCACTGTCCTCCCACAGCCCACGAGGGTTTCCCTCCACTGACAAGTAATTTTTTAACTGGTCCTCACCTTGTCCAGAGCATCTTCTTCATGCCCTATTAGTATTCCAAAAGCAAAGGTCAGGGACTCTTACTCCCTAACTCAGAAGCTTTCAATAACCATCCACTGCCCTCTGGCTCCAGAGCAGCCTCCTATTCTCATATTCAAGAGCCTCCATGAATAGCTTCCACCTGCATTTGTACATTTATCTCCTGGGTTTTGCATTCACTGGTTCTTGCCCACATGGGCCTAGCTCTTCCAAATGTGCCTTTGTTTCTGCATTTCCTCCAGGTGCTCTGAAAGGGACTCCAGCTACCCTGTGTAAAAGCCACCTGCTCACACAAGCTTGGCTTGGTTTCTCTAGCAACGTGGAGCCACTTTTTACAAAGAGCCTATAGATTTCCTGGCCTGCTTCCTTCAATCACACATGACTACTGCTAGGAATTGTATCTTTGAAATATTTGTATGTTTGAATTTTTATATGTTTTGGCATTGTGTGTATGTTGTGTACCAGTACCGGGACTTGAACTCAAGGTCTAATTCTCTGGCTTAGCTTTTTGCTCAAGGCTGGTGCTCTACCACTTGAAGCATAGACTCCACTCCTGGCTTTTTGTTGGTTAATAAGAAACCATTGGATTTGTCTTCCCAGGCTGCCTTTGAACTGGGATCTTCAGATCTCAGCCTCCTACATAGTTAGGATTATAGACACAAGCCACCAGTGCCCTGATAGAATTTGTATCTTATTCACCAGTGCATGTTCCCTTCCTGCCTGGCCCAGAGCCTGGTTAGTTAGAACTCTGTTGCTATTGGGTTGACTTAGAATGAGTAAGCTGCAGTCTGAAAATATGTACTTGGAATGTTAAAAGAAAAAAGAAAAAAAGAACGTGAACACAAACGTGAGAGAATTGAGGAAGAAGGAAAAGCTTGTGGAAAGAAAGCAGAGGGAAACTGCTCACTCAGCACAGATATTCATGCTCCTTGGCTTGACTTCCAGATCCCATGTAGGTGGATTCCATTTCGGCCCTGGAAAAGAACAAGTGGGACTGGAGCTAAAAGTCAGTATGGGGCACAGAAGAGTGCTGGGGGCAACAGCAGTATTGTAAGCATTCCTACCATATTTTGTGATTTTTTGGGGGGTGGTGGGAGAATGTTGAGAAAGACATGTCTTCATGCACTGAGTATCCTCCACCAAATGCAAAATTGAAAGTGACCCTCTGGCCTGCCTGGCCAGCATGAGTACCATAAAGGAAGAAAGGAAGTGCTGCACTGAAGAGCTTCCTCCAGGTAGATGCAGTGATACACAACTGTAATGCCAACCTTTGAGAGACTGAGGCAGAACGATTAAACCATACCTGTAATCCTAGCTACCCAGGAGGATGAGATCTGAGGGTATCGGTTCAAAGCTAGCCCAGGCAGGAAAGTTATCTGTAATTAACCACCAAAAAGCAAGAAATGGAGCTGTGGTTCAAGTGGTAAAGAGCTAGCTTTGAGCACAAAAAGTTCAGGGACAGTGATCAGGCTCTGAGTTCAAATCCCATGACTAGTGGCATACACACAAAGAAAGTTTAGGGTCAGCCTGAGCTATAGTGAGACCTTATCACTAGGGGTTAAAAAGCCTAACTCTGCAGGGAGGCCCAGAACCTAGCTCTTGGTGGTGGTGGGATATTCATTTATTTATTCATTTGACAATTTATGTATTCATTTACTCAGCAAATATGATTCAGGAAACAGACCAAGTAGACAAAACACCTGGGCCAGAATTTAAAGTCTAGAAACACACACACACACACACACACACACACACACACACACACACACACACACACACACACACACACACACACCCTCTTCTGAGAGACAGGTGGAAAGGTTTGGAAGGTGAGTCATTTCTCTAAGGAAGCCATCACCGCCACTAACACAAGACTTCTTGTAGGGTACTGGGAAAGAGCACCCCTTGGACCTTGGGCCATGGAGGCCTTAGCTCAACTCACTTCATTTTAGGACAGTGAAAACCTTAGGTCACCCCTAGGGTCTGTGGCCTGCCCCACTCCTGTTCACGCTGGGGCACGGTCCACCACAAACACAGAACTAGCTCGTCAGGGAGCTACCAGCTAGGAAGAGTCCTCTATGCCTCTGTCCCTTAGTCCCAGTGGTGACTGTGGGAGCTGGGCCAGCTGATGTCATGGCTGTTGAGATGCTCACATGTTGACAGCCACCAGCTTGCTGACTGAGCAACCAGAGTGGGTTGAGGGCTGTGGTTACCAAGAAACCAAAATCTCTCCCCATTTCTTGTATCTCTACATCAACGAGGAGAAGCCTTTCTTGCAAGTTCTGGGCAAATGTAATTTCAGGTAGAGTTAAATGAGGAGCAAATAAACATATTCAGACACCTGCTTCTTCCTCCCCAACCCCTTACCCTCCTCTGACCTAGTACACAAGAGGTGCCGAATAAATGTTTGTTCAATGAATAAACATTGACTCAAATGGAAAAGTAGTGCGAAGAGCACTGTGCTGGGAGTCAGAGACCTGCCTGCCAGCAACTTGGACACCAATCCTTTAGAAAGTTTGGGTCAGCCACCTGACATTAGGCCAGTTGCTCTTCTCAGTGACATGCTGACTGCTCATCTGGAGGGCCTTGGAGGTTTGCTGTGAAACACACGCACACACACATTGCACTGGAGCATTGAGAAGGAGGACCTAGGTGTATGCATGTTCCGGATCACCTCAGAAACTAGAAAAAAGACCAGATGCCAGTGCTCAAGCTTGTAATCCCAGCTACTCAGAAGGCTGAGACCTGAGGATCTTGTTTCAAAGCCAGCTTACACCAGAAAGGCTGTGAGACTCTAATCTCCATTTAGCCATCCAAAAGCCAGAAGTAGAGCTATGGCTCAAGTGGTAGAGGGCTAACGTTGAGGGCACAAAAAAAAAACAAAAAAAGAAAATGCAAGAAAAAAAAAAAAACGTGAGAAAGCTTGCAGCTGCTATCTGAAATAGGACACAGGTGACAGCGGTAGGAGCCGTTAGACTCCACATCCTGCCAGCTGGTAATGGCAGAGGGACCAGCCACTTGATGATTTTCTTCTTACTTCACTCAGGCAGGACTGGTGAGAGTCCCTAGTCTTCTCTGCACCCACGTCGATCATCTTCCCAACCTCAATGCTGATTCACTTTGAGCTGGGCATGAGTGGAACGGGAAGCTCAGCCCCTCTTTCTATGAGCTGCTGGGGCTCAGTGAGGCCACAGCAGACAAACAAGCACGTGCCAGGCATGAGTGAATCTCTCCCCACCACCCCCAGCCACACTTCAGTCCCCACTTCCCCAGGCTGTGCTGTGTGGGGGCGCCAGGTAAAGGTCTGAGCTTGCAGCTGAATGGGGAGCTGAGACCTGCCACGCAGTTCCTGTCAGTCCTGAAGATGATGTGTCAGAAGCATCAGAACTTTGCAAAACAACAACTCTGGCACAGCTTCCTGCACCTCCCCTTCCCGCCCCTGCAAGTGGGCAGAGCTCCCACGTGCCTTGTGCGTGTGAGGCTGTTTGAGCTGACAACCGTGTGGGGGGGACAAAGAGGCAAGCTCAGGAGGTAGCCGCAAAGGAGAGGAAGGCGGTTTTATATGTGGCAAAATATTTCTCCTACAGGAGTACAGACAAGACAGACAGATAGATGGGGAACAGAACACCAGACAGGGGCTAGGTTGGGCAGTGGTATCTTCTAACCAGTAAGTGAAAGCTGCACCCCACCCTCAGGTGAGGGTGGGCCAACATTGGCACAGGAGGTGGAGAGACAGGTGTGGGGTACCCATCCCTGAGGTGGGCAGCCGGGCAGGGCCCAGTCCTCGTTGGCACAATCGGCTCTCTCTGGCCCAGCTAGGATGCTGAGGGAGGGGCAGGACTGCTGGGCTAGAAGGATGATGAGGCGGAGGGCACTCTAGGGGAGGGGGCTACCAAGGCCTCTCCTGGGAGAAGTGGACACTAGTAAAGGACAGGATCACAAGAGGCAAGTACAGAAAGCAGCAGCAGCCAAGTCCCCCGAGGGAGACCCAGGTAGGTCCCCAGGTGACCCCTGGGGTGGTGGTCACCTCTTGGGTACCAACCCACCAGGCCTCTCCCCTGAGGCCTCAGGGTGAATGACGGTGAAGGAGCAGGTTTTTTTTGTTTTTTTTTTTGTTTTTTTGGTTTTTTTTTGGTTTAGAATGAAGCGGACCAGACTGTTCATAGTCTCCACACCCAAGTGGCACGGAGATGTGCGGGGAGCTCAGATGCAGAGTGGGCCCCCCCTCTTCTGATGGCAGCAGGCAGGAGAGTTTGTAGGCAAAGCTCATTCCTGGGTAGGCAAGGGCTGAAACATGGAGGTGGGGTGGGTAGCAGCATCTCAAGTTGCCCAGTCCTCCAAGTTCTCTGCCATGGGCTTTGCCACAGTCACAGAGGGCAGAGGATACACCTCTGATGTCTGTGTTCCCACCCAGACCCCTCCCCAAGACCACACTCCCTATGGGTGTCCAAGTTGTAGCTTTCACCTACCAGAGAATACTGCCAGAAAGCTGGGGCATGGTGATGGACCTTGGATCTGGGGTGTGGGGAAGGAGAGCCCCCATGGGGGAAGATTCTGTGGCTTCCCTCTCCAGCCAAACCACCCAACCAACCCTTCACTAATACCCCAAGTTGGGAAAAGAAGGGGCCCCTCCTCATTTAGGACCTTCACTTAAAGGCCCGAGTAGAAAGATTTAAGGAAGTGCACCTTTTCTCTTGGGAGGGGGAGAGGAGAGGCCCCCTAAGATGGGGGAAATGGGCCAGTTTAGGAAGATGGGTATCCAACAACCATCAACCACAAACAAGTAGGAAAAAACCTACTGTTGGGGCTTAAAGGCCTCCCAGGAGCTGGAATGATAACCATCAAAGAAACCCCAAACACTGAGCAAAGGCATCTGAAAGGAGGGAGACAGCGCCTCCTGGAGGCAAGACACAGCTCAGGCGGTGAGCCCCTCTTCTGGATCCCCTCCCCGGGCTCCGAGTCCTTCTCCCACTAAGCAGCCTCGGCCTCAACGGATGTAGACACCTTGCCCCCAGCCCTCCAGCTCATTCTTGTTACGCCCCAACACCGGACCCCCACCCTCTGCACAGTAGCGAGCCTTATTCCGGGCCCGGTTCCGGTTGTCGGTCTGCTCTTCCTCATAGTCTTCCTCATCCTCCCAGGAGCCCTGCCGAGCTGGTGGAGTGCCGCCCCCGGCAGGGTCTCCAGGCCCTGGCCCCTCTGAGGGGTCAGTCTCCATGTCCACACATGAGTCTCCCGGCTCGGTGTAGGCAGAGTTTCGGCTGCCGGGGGTGTCAGCATCAAACGTGTCTTGGCGGGACAATGCCCGCAGCGTGCCAGCCCGGCCTGGTGGATGGCTGCTGGGGTAAAGGCCCGGGGGCTGGCCCAGCTCTCCCGGGTACTTGTGCACGCTGGCGTGCTCCCCGGTGGCCCGTTCCAGTGGCTGGTCCCCGGAAGCAAGGTAGGGTCCCTGGTTAGCAGACAGACGGCACACACCATGCAGATCAGGCAGGCAGGGGTGAGAAAAACACACAAAGCAAGGCAGGTTAGTGACAGCACCATAATACCCAGCCTGGCTGAAGGAGAAGGGCACTGGATCTAGGGAAGGGGCACCTGGTACCTGGGCAAATGGCTTTAGAACCCAGCCAGAGGACAAGGCTGGGCACATTTGCACCACTGTTAGGGCTGGGGCACCAACTTCGTGGTAAGTCAGGACTCATGATTTCTCACAGAAACCATGGTAAGGAAGCCCCTAAACAATTAGTCACCACTTCCTCAATGCATATCATTAATGTCTTGAGGTTAATCATCATGAACAGTTCATTAGTACTGCTGCCACTCACTAGTGGTTGATTAGGTTAGTCAATCCTTCCACTTTTCCAAATACATTAAGAGATTTCAACTCAAACTCCACTGACCCTTGCTTCTTCAGCCCACACCAGACTTCAATCACAGGCTTCTAGAACCCCACGCATCTCCTCCCTGGATGAGTCTCCAGGGCTGATAGCATCCTCCCCCCCTCCCCCCCCCCCCACCCCAACAAGGATGCAAAGCTAGAAAAAGCTGATGGGTCACCTTCCTCAACTGGAGACCCCCCCCCCTTCCATGGTGGCTCAATGCTGTCATCACCAAATGCCTCCTGAAGTTGAGTTGCTGGCCATGGACAGTAGAGATTGTCAGGTAGGTTGCAAAGAGGATCAAGTTCTACACACACCCTGCCACCTTAAACTGTGTGACCCTAAGCAAATGTTTCTGCTGTGTGACCCAGTTTTCTGGAGCTCTGGGAGGAGGTAGGGAGTGCTTCTGGGGTCTCAGTGGAGAAAGAGCACAGAAGTGCTTCTTGGGGGCCTGGTAAACAAGTGGACTCTGTTGCTGAAAACAGGCTTGGAAAACAGCAGCCTGGAAAGTTTCATGGAGTTTGGCTGGCTCTACCCCCAGAACCATATACTTAATGGTATGATCTCAGATGATGGGTTGTGGCTTCCACAGGAGGAGGGTGAGGCCCAGTGGATACCTACAGGAGGGCCTTTCCTAGCTCAGCACCAACTCATAGAAGATGTTCATTCTGGGCCCTTCCTGAGGGACCAGGAAGTTAACGCTCTGACATAGCAGCAGCTTCTCTGGAGCTAATAGTTCCTGCTCTGTGGTTCTAAAAGGGGTGCGGAGGAATTGGAGATGTAGCTCAAATGGTAGAGTGTCAGCCATAAGTAGAAAACAAAAACAAACACAAGTGCAAGGCCCTGAGTTAAAATGGGTGTGGAGTCCAGTGAGTGAATCTTTCTCCTATTTTCCTCATTAGTCTCTGGCCTTTTTAAGGGCCCAATCAGGTCTCATGTCCAACGGGTAAAACCAGGACCAGGGAGGCAGCACCAGCCAGCCCCAGCCCCACCAAAAACCACAGACACCAGAAATGTGCCACTCAACCACGTTTTTTACAAAATAAAACTCTTCCCTTCCTTCCCAGTGTTCCCTGCACTCCACTCCTGGAGGGAAGGCGAGAGGGGGACCTGCTACATGGCTTGCTCTTGCTGCTGGGCCACCGCGCTGCCGCCTCTCTGAGAGGCTTCCAGCCCGCCCCAGAAGCTGAGGTTTCTCCTGAGCGAGGTGAGCACCTGTACCTGGAGGTTGGAGACCGGGGCAGGGCTGGCAGCCAGGGCTGCTGTAGCCATGGTGCGGTTCAGCAGCGGATTGGGTGGCGTGCTGCTGGGTGGGTGTGTGGCCTTCCAGTAGGCTTCCAAGTATTCGGCCAGGTGCTCACAGGCATCCTCCAATTGGTTCTCGTCCAGGATGATGTCAAACATTTCCTGCGGAGGTGGGGTTAGGGGCAGGGCTGGGATGAGCGGGGGCGTGTCCAAGGGGTTGAGGGTGTGGCCTGGGTGCAGTGGGTGGAGCCAAGGGGTTGAAGGACAAAGTTAAAAAGAAGCCTTGTGGGGGTGGCCTGGCCGGTGTCTGGTGGCTCACTCCTAGCTACTCAGGAGGCTGAGATCTCAGAATCATGGTTCAAAGCCAGGCAGGGCAGGAGTCTGTGAGACTCCTAGCTACTCAGGAATCTGAGATCTGAGAATCATGGTTCAAAGCCAGCTGGGGCAGGAAAGTCCATGAGACTCTTATCTCCAATAAATTACCACAAAAGCCAGAAGTGGAGCTGTGGCTCAAGTGGTGGAGCACTATGCAAAAACAGCTCAGGATCAGCACCCAGGTCCTGAGTTCAAGCCCCAGGACCAGGGGGAAAAAAAAAAGCCTAGGGATATGGAGAATGGGAAAGAGGACTTGGCAGACCTGCCAGAAGTCTGCTAGTGCAACTCAGCCCAACTACCTCCTTCTGGAAATAAGATAGCCATGACTAGGAGAGAGGGGGTTTCAATCCCTGCTTGGGTCTACCCTTTGTTTGTCTTTCCCAAGATCGGTCTGTATCCACAGACCTTGGCCCAGGTGTTTCTGGTCACTTTGTCTTCAGTGCAGACCAGAAGAAACCAAATACCCTTCTCCCCTTCTCCCCCAGTTCTGGGCACTCACGGGGGGACACTGTGCCAGCTTCTCTGAGGCTGCTATTTGAACATTGAGGTGTTTGGACTGAGATTTCCCTCGAGATTTGATGAGCCTCTGAAGTACCTGGTTTGGGGAAAGGAGAGTTAGAGGGACCCAGGCAATGTACCAAGGTCAGATTCTGCCTGGAGTCAGAATGGAGAGCCAGTGTTAGGACTATGGAATGTTCCATGACTCTCAGCCCTGGGCACCTCTGCAAAAATGACCTCACCGGGCCTGTGTCCACCCCACATGCATTCAGGCTGTCTATGTGAAGGACAGTAATTCTTCCCCATGCCCAACCTCGTCTATGGGCTTCATCCTCCAGCTTTGCTTCCTCTAACCCGTGTTAACAGTCATTGTGCTTTTTATTGAGATCGTGTCTAGCTAAGTTCACCCAGGCTGGCAGGCCAGAAAAGGTGATCTTTCTGTTTCAGTCTGATGAGTAGTTGGGACCACTACAGGTAGAGAGGCATGCCACCTTGACCACCTGATGTGTGCTTTCTGTACTCTCAATTCAGTCCTGACAATAATCCCATTAGTTATTATTATTAATAATTATAATTTATAATTAAAATAAATAAATTTAGTTTTAAATAAATTAAAGTTAAATTTAATTATAATCAATAATGATTATAATAAAATGCAACATTTAAAAGTAATCATAAGGAAACATAAAACTGAGGGACAGTTTGCAAAATTAACAGGGCTATACTAAGATGTCAGTGTCGTGAAAGACTAAAGAATTGTTCCACATTAAAGAAAACTGGGCTGGGCACTGGTGGCTCATGCCTTTAATCCTAGCTACTCAGGAGGCTGAGTAGCCAGCCCAGGTAGTAATGTCCATAAGACTCTTTATCTCCAATTAACCACCAAAAAGCCAGAAGTACAGCTGATCAAGTGGTAGAATACCATCCTTGAGCAAAAAAGCTAAGCAAGAGTGTAAATCTCTGGTTGAAGCCCAAGTACACACACACACACACACACACACACAGAAAAGAAAAAACAAAACAAAACAGAACAGAACTTGAAGCCTGGAGCTGGTTACTCACACCTGTAATCCTAGCTACTCAGGAGACTGAGATCTGAGGATCACAATTCAAAGCCAGCCCAGGCAGGAAAGTCTGTGCACTTTTTTTTTTTTTTTTTTTTTTTTGTGGGGCCTGAACTCTGGGCCTAGGAACTGTCCCTGAGCTCTTCAGTTCAAGATGAGTGCTCTACCACTTGAGCCACAGCACCCACTTCTGGCTTTTTCTGCTTATGTGGTGCTGAGGAATTGAACCCAGGGCCTCTTGCATGCAAGGCAAGCACTCTACCACTGAGCCACCTTCCAGCCCCAGTCCATGCATTCTTATTTCCAATTAACCACCAGAAAACCAGAACTGGCTCTGTGGCTCAAGTGGTAGAATACTCGCCTTAAGCTGAAGAGCTCAGGGATAGTGCCCAGGCCCAGAGTTCAAACCCCATGACCATGACCACCACCACCACCACCACCAACAACAACAACAAAATAGAACTTGGGATAGCATTTGTCCAGCAAGTATGAAACCTTTATTCAATTCCCAGTAACACACACACACACACACACACACACACACACACACACACACACAGAGTACCTTTGTGGGTACCAGGCATCTTGTATGATCAGTCTATTTACTTAGTCTTCATTGGAGAATGTCTTTTTCTTTCTTTCTTTTTTTGTCGGTCATGGGCCCTGAACTCGGCCTGGGCGCTGTCCCTCAGCTCTTCAGCTTAAGGCTAGCACTCTACCACTTGAGCCTCAGCACCACTTCTGGCTTTTTCTGCTTATGTGGTGCTGAGGAATCAAATCCAGGGCCTCATGCATGTGAGGCAAGCACTCTACCTCTGAGCCACCTTCCCAGCCCAAGAATGCCTTTGTTATAGATGACAAAACCAGGGCCTGAGATGTTAGATAACTTGCCAAAAGGACACAGTGCTGTTAAGTCTAGCTCAAGAGTACCCACCATAACCTCTGTGGGCATCTGTTACTTTCTAGGTCACAAAATGTTTTTGCATCATTACCTCATTTGATCCTTTCAGCTCCCACACTCCCAAGTACTTATATTCCATCGTCACTTTTATCTCATTGGAAACTTAAAACTAATTCCCAAGATGTTAATGTAGAACAACAACAGTTAGTAGCACTTCCAGCCATCAAGAGTCAGTCTACTGGGGTCTTTATCTCTATCACCTCCAATCTCTCAGAAATAATAGAGGCTGAGGATGTAACTTGATGGTAGGGTGTGTAGTTGGCATGTTTGAGGCTTTGAGTTCCATCCTCAGCATCAAAAATATAATCACACCAGAGAAGGAATGCCATTTTGTAAGTGAATTATTTGAGGCTTAAGGACTAAGTAATTCCCCCCAAATCCCAAGCTTAATAAAAACAACTAACACCAATAAATAAATTTGAAAACCAACCAAAGCAAAGATTTCAACCCCACACTGCCTTCTAACTCCAAAACCTAACAAGAGTAGGGGTGTGAATCTAATCTAACCACATTATTTGCTAGCAGAGTGCTGGTGCCTCGTGCCTGTAACCCTAGCTGCTCAGGAAGCTGAGATTTGAGGATTGAAGTTTGAAGCCAGAACTGGCAGACAAATCTGAGACACTCTTATCTCTAAATAACCAGCAAAAGGCCCAAAATGGAGGTGTTGCTAAGGTGGTAGAACACCAACCTTGAGTGAAACAGCCAAGCAAGAGTGCAAGGGCAGGCTGGGAATGTGGCCTAGTGGTAGAGTGCTTGCCTAACGTGCATGAAGCCCTGGGTTCCACTCCTCAGTACCACATACACAGAAAAAGCCAGAAGTGGCACTGTGGCTCAAGTGGTAGAGTGCTAGCCTTGAGCAAAAGAAGCTCAGAGATAGTCCCTGGTGTTGAGTTCAAGCCTCAGGACTGGCAAAAAAAAAAGCAAGGGCCTAAGTCTAAGTCCTAGTAGACACACACACACACACACACACACACACTATACGCAGGTATGACATATTATAATAAGACCCCTTATATAATTAATATACACCAATAAAAAATAAAGCAAAAAAACCCCACAAAACCTTAAGACTGGGATTTAGCTCAATAGTAGAGTGCTTTACCTAGCCTGCACAAGGCCAGTTGCTCCCCAACAACAGAAAAAAAAAACTGACTTCAAAACCTTCACCTTACACTCCACATTCCTCAAGTCTTCACTAACAATTAGAAAGAAAGTTTAAGGAGCTGCAACATGACAAGTAAATCAGCTTTCCTATCAATACCCTCTCTATTCAAGTCCAAATGAGGACAGCACAATTTTTTAAAAAAAGGCTGACATCAGAGCCAGGAAAGACTTCTCCCTGCCAAGTAGCTGAGTGACATTGGGACAAAAGCATAATTATTTCAGTGATTTAGTCTAAGGATGGAGTCAACCGGAGTAGAAACAGGGGATTGGATGCATGTCCCTAATAATCATGTCAGTAATAGCTAGTGCATGATGAGGTATGTGGTCCCAGGCCCTGTGCTGATTGCTGGGTATTCACATTAGACTGCCTCTTTCCCATGTCCACAGGGTGGGGTTTTACTGAGAGGGAAACTATTCAGTCACCCCATTAGGAAACAAGTGAACCCAGGCAGGCCAACTACAGAGCCCTCTTTGTGAACCATGCCATTCCGCTGGGGTCATGCCCCTGCACCTACCTTGGGAGAGGTAATTTTGATGTAAACAATGATGGGGGCCAGCGAGGTCTTGGAGAGCTGGGCGGGGTGGTTGATGGTGTCAGCATCCAGGGCGACCAACTGAAGGGTCCGGGCCAGCTCAAAGATCCGCTCAATCTCACTCTGTACCTCAGCTAGGGGCATGAAGTCATGGGGAGGGAGATGTAAGGTAGTGCCCAGGAAGTAGCCAGAAAAGAGAAGTTTCTAGAGACTTCCCACATCCCACCCAGTGGTCCAGAAGAGGAAGCAGAGAGTAGAGGAGGTGAATAGTTTACCCAGGCTGGAACGGGTATTGGATCGTTCAATGATGATATGCTTGCTGGGGTTGTTGAGAACTGAGCGCTTGGCCAGGGAAATGTCAGCTGTCACTCGTGTGATGGAGATCCTGGGTGATGAGGCACAGGAGGGAATGGGGGGAGTCAGGATGGGCTAGAATGCACGGCCCAGGCCCCAGCCTTCAGGCCTGCCTCTTGTCCCTCAATCCAAGGCTTGTCCTTCCAGAGAGCCTGCTCATCTGTAGGTGGGGCTGGGAAGTCAGCTCCCAGGGTCTTACCTGCCATCAAACCGATGTTTCAAGAAGTCAAATAAAGCTTTCTGCATCATGTCTGTAACCTGCCGTTGAGAGTTTGGAGGGGGAGAAGTCAGGAATTGAAAAACCACGCTGGGGGTTGGCCTGATGGGCATTTGGACCCTCATATTCCACCTTCTTTAAAAAGTGCTGAGATGAAGTGGCCTGCTGCCGTGTGCCGGGGCGGGGGGGGGGGGGGGGGGGGGAGGGGGGTCCTTCTGGGGCTGGGACTCCAGTGTAGTCTGATTTCAAGGGTCCTTCTAGGTATCTCTGGAGGGCTCTTTAGGGGCATCCTTGCAGGACTGAGGCCCTCTAAGGGTGTCTCCTGTAGGTTAGGCCCTTCTAGGGATTTTTCTCTGGATTTCTGTGGCCCTTGGGGGAGGATACCCTGGGGAACTAGACCCCTCTTGTGGATTTCTCTGGGTCTGGGGATCTTTCTGTGGATTTTTTCTGAAGGTCTTGGTCCCTCTGGGCCCACTCCCCTCTAAGGCTCCTACCTCATAGCCCTTGAGCGACGGTCCCACCAGGATGATGGGCCTCATGGAAGGCACCACGTCATACGGGGGCACATGCTCTGTCTGGGGTGGGGGGAAGCAGGGAAGGGAAACCCCAGAGTGGAGATGGCATTTCACCCTCTCCCTCAGCCTCCAATTCCCCCATGCAGCCTTTCCTCCCCCTGCTCCCAGAGCCCAGATGTGGGGATCAAGGAGGGGTTGGGAAGGGATGACCAGGGAGGACCAGGAAGGGTAGGGAAGAGAGGGTAGATATGGGAGTGGGTGTTAGAAGGTTTCCCAGCTCATCCCAGGGGTGGAGAGGGGTACACAGAAAGCTGTGATACTCACCGACTTCTGCTTCTGTTTGGCTGGGTCCAGAGATTGCCAGGAGAGGGGAGGGGAGGAGGAGAAAGGGGCCACCCAGGCAGGGGCAAAGGGCAAGGGAGGAGCCAGGACCAGAGAAGGAGGGAGAGCGGGCAGACGAGGAGAGATAACAGGGCATGCGTGTTAGTGACAGACAGAGCCAGAAAGGGAACGGGACCCCATGCCAAGGGCAAGGGAGAAGTGGCCCTGGCCCAGGGCAGGAAGCATTATCAGTCCACTGGACTTGGGCATCGTTGGACAAGCCCTACCCTTCTTCCACCTCTTGGAAAAGAGTTGCAAATATGATAACCCCTAATTTGGAGCCCACCTCCTATCAGCCCATAAATTTTAAGGGGTCCCTTGTCTGTCTTTCTCTGCAACCAAGAGACCCCCCCTTCATGTGCCTACCCATAGAGTTGGAAAAGGACAAAGAAGAAATGCCATCCCGCTCCCCACTTCACAAGCCAGAGTGGGGTACACATTGGACTATTCCACTGCATTGGAAGTGACCAAAGATCATGTCTTATTACCACCGTCCCTGCTTCCACAGGGCAGGCAGAATTCCAAGGGCAAGAGCCACCCCTTCCTGGTGAATGGCCAAGGTGGGGTTGTATGTGGAGAGGGATGTCACCCCCGCCCCCAGCCCTCCTCCAGCTTAGGGGGAAGCCCTGAGGCCCACAGCATAAACCCAATTGCATCTGACCACTCCAGCTCCCTCTCCCTGCCAAGAGCTGGGCCTTCACCACCCACCTTGCAGGAACCCAGTCACAATTACCTTCTTAAAGAAGGGGATGCGCTTGCCATGAGGAGGTGGGGTGGTGACACTGCTAATGCTAGTCTTGGCAGAGCCGCTCTGCTCCCCAAACTCTGCCTCCTCATCCTCTAATTCTAAGGGGTCTAGTTCAAAGGCTAAGTTAGTCATTTCATTACCTGGACCAGAGGTGAGATGGAAGGAGAGGGAGGTGAGGAAGAGAGGAGTGAGATGAGCATGGAGACACAGAACAGAACACAGGGATGGGATGGGGGAAAAAAGAAAGAAGAAGAGGTGAATGGAACAGGGCTGGGAGAAATGAATGGGGGGGGATTGAGGGGCAGGGAGGGGCAGGCAGAGAGATGGAGCTACCAAAGAAGAGGGGAGGAGAGACACGACAGGTGTAGCTTGTTGGGGTACACTATGCCTCATGGAGGGGTACTCATTGTGCGAGGGGGGACTCCCTTGGTATAGGGAGGAGGGGGTCAGGCAGTGGGGTGATCACCCCACCCAGGAACACCTCCCCACCCCTTAGTTTGGCAGAAAAACTCTTACCACTGGCAGGGGGTGTGGGGCGGCGGGTGCCAGTCACCACGTCTCCCAGACTGGAAGTGGAGTTGTCACCTGATTTGCTGTGTGGGCAGGGAGGCAAATGGATTTGGTGAGCCATGGGGTGGGCGTGCAGGCGGGGAACCCAGGCCTGTTATAAGCTGTGCCCTCAGAGGTCCTCCAGCATCCCCACAAGCAGCTCAGTGGGGCCAGCCCTGAGGCCTAGTCCTGGCTGGTAGCCTCTCCCAGGGTGGTAGAGCTCCCCCTCCCCCCAAGCCAGACACCTGGAGCTGAGGCGGTTCTGGCGCATCGTCTGTTCCTGTAGCAGGCGCAGGCTGTCCAGTTTGACGGGGCTGGGGATGAAGCCAACCTCACAGCCCTCCTTCACCAGTCGCCCAATCCACCAGTCATTATTGTATTTCTGCAAACAACAGCAGGTGGGGTGGAAGAGACCAGGAGGTCTTGCACTGGAGGTGTAAGCCACAGTCACCCTTCCAGGGGAATCACTGGATTGCTCACCCTGCACACAACGTCATCTCTACCCCAGCTCCAGCCTGCGAGGATAGTGCCCACCCCCCTCCACAGTTCTCAAGACAATACCAGAACTATCATCCCCTCTGGCCATGGTGCCCTTCCCTTAGAGAGAAGAAGAGAGTCTTTCCTGCCTCTGGGACCCAAGCTGCTGGAGGCAGGCAGGAGCAAACGCAGACACTTATACACTCCAAGCTCATCACCACTCCAGCCATAGGCCACATGACAAAGTGACCTAGACATTACCACCCATTAAACAATGAGAAATTAGAGGCTCAGAGAGGTAGAAAGATTTATCTAAGATGCCATAGCAGCTTGGCTCAGGAGACATTTTCCCCCCACAATAGCTTGGGCTGCCTCTCCCTTGGCACCCACTCCCATCCTCCTTCCAGGTGCCAGGCACCCAGCCCACCTCCTTGATGTGCAGGAAGTCCTTAGGCTCAAAGGTAATGGCCACTCCTTGTACAGGCACCTCATCTCCTGGAGATGGATTGTAGCCAACGTTAGTCCGCACAGCAAAAGCCACTGGCTTAGTCTAGGAGGTACACAAAAGGGGGGAAGGTTGACACCACAGGCTAAAGCCTAACAATAATAATAATGGAGCTGGTGCTTATCCAGATGTTTACTTTGTAAATAATTAAAATGTACATTAAAGCCAGGTGCTGGTGGCTCACACCTGTAAGCTAAGATCTGAGGATTGCAGTTCAAAGGCAACCTGGGCAGGAAAGTCTGAGAGACTCTTTTTTTTTTTTTTTTGGGTCCGGTCGTGGGGCCTGAACTCTGGGCCTGGGTGCTGTCCCAGCTCTTCAGCCCAAGGCTAGCGTTCTACCACTTGAGCCACAGTGCCACTTCCAGCTTTTTTCTTTTTACTTATGTGGTGCTGAGGAATTGAACCCAGGGCCTCAGGCATGCAAGGTAAGTGCTCTACCACGGAGCCACCTTCCCAGCCCCTGAGAGGCTCTTATCTCCAGTTAACAACCAGAAAAATGGGAGTGGTTGTGTGGCTCAAAGTGGTATAGTGCTAGCCTTAAGTAAGAAGAGCTCAGGGACAATCCCCAGGCCCTGAATTCAAGCCCCATGACCAACAAAACAATAATAAACAGAATGAACATTAAATGGTTTGTGTGGTTTCCTATATGTATGTTAAATTTTCAATGAAAATGAAAGGTGGTATATACCTGTAGTTCCAGCTACTCTAGAGTCAAAGATAAGAGGATCTCAATTCAAAGCCAGCCTGAGCAAGAAGTTAAGAACTTATCTCAGAAATGAACTAAATCTGAGGATGTGGCTCAAGTAATACAACACCTGAGTTCAATCCCCAAAACTGTCTAAAAATTAAAAAGAAAGCAATTAAAAAAAGGAAATTAGGGCTGGGAATGTGGCTTAGTGGGAGAGTGCTTACCTAGAATGCATGAAGCCCTGAGTTCGGTTCCTCAGTACCACATAAACAGAAAAAGCCAGAAGTGGGGCTGTGGCTCAAGTGGTAGAATGCTAGTCTTGAGCAAAAGAAGCTCAGGGACAGTGTCCAGGACCTGAGTTCAAGCCCCAGGACTATTTTTAAAAAAGGGGAGAGGGGCTGAGAAGATGGCTCAGTGATAGAGCACTTGCCTTGCATGCATGAGGCCCTGGGTTCGATTCCTCAGTAGCACATAAGCAGAAAAAGCCAGAAGTGGGGCTAAGGCTCAAGGGGTAGAGCGCTTTCCTTGAGCTAAAGAGCTGAAGGGCAGTGCCCAGGCTCAGAGTTCAAGCCCCATGACCAACCTTCTCCTCCCCCGAAAAAAAGGAAAATGGGGGCTGGTGGTTCACGTCTGTAGTCCTAGCTACTGAGGAGGTTGAGATCTGAGATAGATATTCAAAGCCAGTCCAGGCAGAAAAGTCTATGAGACTTTTTATTTCCAATGAACCACCAAAAGCAGGAAAGTGGAGCTCTGAATCCAGTAGTAGAGCACCAGTCTTGAGTACAAAGTTAAGGAACAGCACCCAGGCCTGATTTCAAGCCACTATACTGGTACCAAAAAAATAAAAAGGAGCTGGAACCAGAGGCTAAGCCTGTAATCTTAGCTACTCAAGAAGCTGAAATCTGAGGATCATGGTTCAAAGCCAGCCTGGGCAGAAAAGTCCATGAGACTCTTATCTTAAAACCAGAAGTGTTGCTATGGCTCAAGGTGGTAGAGCAGACCTGGGAAGGTGGCTCAGTGGTAGCGTGCTTGCCTTGCATGCATGAGGTCCTGGATTTGATTCCTCAGCACCACATAAGCAGAAAAAGCCGGAAGTGGCTCTGTGACTCAAGTGGTAGAGCGCTAGCCTTGAGCTGAGGGACAGTACCCAAGCTCAGAGTTCATGCCCACATCGACAAAAAAAAAAAACAAACGGAAAAAAAAAAGTGGTATGTCACTAGCCTTGAACAAAAAAAGCTCTGAGTTCTGGGACAGTGCCCAGGCCTTGAGTTCAAGCCCCAAGACCAACAATAAATAAATAAATAGGAATGCAGGTCTCCCAGGGTGGTGGGAAATATGAAGACTGCAAATATTGGGGGAAAGTGGGAGGAGCCTAGAATGAGAACAGAAGGAATGACAATAACACTGCCAGCAATGACTGTTCATCATACTAGGAACTGTTACAGGCTTCATGTGTAGTGTCTCATTGATTCCTACAAAAATCCTATGCTGTTGCTTAATTTTATCTTCATTGCATTTGTTTATTTATTTTGGGGTTTTAGCAAGGACTTGTTTTAATATAACTGGATAAAGTTAAAAAAAAAAGAGAGAGAGAGGGAGAAACTTTTCCTGGCTCCCTATTTATATGAGTAGCACATCCCTAGAAAAAGAATCTCAGGATTTTCCCTCCTGTGTGTTCCTATCTTGCTTCTTCATGGTTCGTGATGCCAGTTGAGGTAGTCAGTACAGTGAAATCAAACTGAGGGATGGAAGCAGAGTGTTCTGCCATTTTCTTCCCTTTTTCGTTTTCATTTTTTTTTTTTTTTTTTTCATTTGAGTCAGGGTTTTGATATGTTGTCCAGGCTGGCCATCAACTTCTTGGGCTAAAATGATCCTTCTGTCTCTAATTTTCAAATAGGTTGGGACAACTACTACTAAGTAGCTGTCATTTATTTAGATATTTGAACTACTAATCGTTCCACATGTTTAACTCTCTGTAGAGTCCAAAACTACTCCTTGCACGGCAAAGATTTCAAATTCATCTAAGTAATCATGCTTCATCACCATTGTCTGTTAGAAAACAACGATTTCAGAGCATATCCTATTAAAAACTTGGCATTTATCCAAATATGGTAGTAAATGCCTGTAATCTCAGCCACTCAAGAGGCAGAGACAGAAGTACCAGTAGTTTGAGGCCAACCTTTGCAATATGGCAAGACCTGGTCTCAAAATAAAAATTTAAAAATAGCCTAACATAGTGGTACATATCTATAATACCAACTCTTGGAGGTAGAGGTAAAAGATTGTAAATTCTAGATCAGCCTGGGTTATATAGTATAATAAAAACAAAATTGCCAGGAGTATAGCTCAGTCATAGAATACTTGCCTAAAAAGTACTAGTTTGTTGGATGCTGGTGGCTCACATCTGTAATCCTAGCTACTGAGGAGGCTGAGATCTGAGGATCTAGGTTGCCAGCCTGGGCAGGAAAGTCCATGAGACTCTTATCTCCAATTAAGCACCAGAAAAAAGAAGTAGCTCTGTGGCTCAAAGTGGTAGTGAGCTAGCCTAGAGCAAAAAAGCTCAGGGATAGTGCCCAAGCGCTGAGTTCAAGCCCCACAACTAACAAAAAACAACAAAAGATAGAAAATGGGACTGGGAAGGTGGCTCAGTGGTAGAGTGCTTGCCTTGCATGCATGAGGCCCTGGGTTCGATTCCTCAGCACCACATAAGCAGAAAAAACAAAAGCCGGAAGTGGCGCTGTGGCTCAAGTGGTAGAGTGCTAGCCTTGAGCTGAAGAGCTGAGGGACAGCGCCCAGGCCCAGAGTTCAGGCCCCACGACTGGACTCCCCCCCCCCCAAAAAAAAAAAAAAAGATAGAAAATGCTAAGCCCTGGGTTCAATTCCCAGTACTGACAAAAAAAAAAAAAAAAAAAAAAATATATATATATATATATATATATATATGTATATATATGTATATATATATATATATGTGTGTGTATATATATATATATATATATATATATATATATATATATATCTCAGGGCTTCAATTCTAGCCTAAGCAGTTTGATTCAGGAAGAAGCAGTCACTTTTAGTGTTTATCAAGCCCCTACTATGTGTAGAAACAGTACCAAGCACTTCTCATACCACATCTAAGGCAGCTGTTATGATCCTTATTTTACAGGGGAAGATGAGAGCCATGGAAGTCAAGAGTACACTACTGGAGTGATGGGTCAGGATTTGATTCTGGCTCTGTTGGATCTGGAAATCTGTAGGGAAATCATACCAGCAGGCCCCTCCCACATCTCCCTCACCTTGGCTTTCTCCAGCTGAGCTAAGGCCTGACGTTCTGCTTCTTTCCTTAAGGCCTCCCGGTCCTCCTCCAGAGATACATCGGAGTCTGACGGCCGACTGGTGTAGGACTCCGCTGAACCCTGAAAGCAGAGGGGGCCAGCTCGAGGCTAGAGCTACCTCCCTGGCTTCTGGGCCTGGAAGGAAAGTGTGGAGGTGCCACCTACCACAATATCTCAAGCCCCAGGAAACCCAGCATGATGCCTAGGAAGAGGTAGAAGGGACTAATGGTCAGAGTTTGCAGGCTTATGGGTAGACTGTGGCCCAGAGAAGAATGACAGCAGCAAGCAGGGGTTAAGGCAAGTCCAAAGACAGCTGCCTGGAGCCCTGGGAGGAGAGGGAACCTGATAGGGGCATAGGGCAGAGGAGGAGTGCCAGGGGACGAGTCCTGCTCCCTGCTCCTCCTTCCTTGCCCTGCCACCGGCATCACTAAGAAGTCTCAACAGAAGCCTAGTGGCATCCCTTCCAGGGACTGCAGCCACCAGCTAAGGCTTAAGTCTCTGCATTACTGCCAATGGGTAGTCTGCTCAGCATGATGAGGCTACCAAAACAAATGCTATTTTCTACTTGAGGGTGTAGGGAGCCAGAGTCCCACCTCTCCTGCCCTTTTAGCTGATATTCTGCCGGAATCAGGCCACACCACAATTCTCTGGTGGCACACACAGAAACTTCAGGTTAAGAGCAGGTCATGGGGCAGCCTTTTCCCCAACATTAGACTGCCAGGTGGCTGTGCAAGGCAGATTAAAAAACCTGGGTGTGCCAGGACGCTAGCTGTGACCACACTGACCGACTCAGAGCACAAGAGACTCTCTTAGAGACATACCCAGATGTGTAACACACATGTACCAGGCATAGACCTGTCAGTACAGGTCATGAACATGCTAAATCATGTGTACATTTCAAAGATCAATGGCAAAAAGTGGCCGGGGGGGGGGGAGGGGCCCGGGAGGGTTATGGTATATGTGGACTGTGTGTGACTGAGCCATCCTGGATACCCAGAGGTGTTTGTCCCTGAGGCTGGGATCCACATAAGTGCAGGAGACAGGAGGTGTAGGTTTATGTGTGATTTCCAGGCTGGTAGCTGACAGAGGTAGGAAGTGGGATCAGGACTGTGGGGAGGTGGGATCTTTCCTGATGGCACAAAAAGGCTACTGAGAAGGGAAGGCCCATTGGCTTGGCATGGAAGGGGACCCAGGAAAGAGACAACCAAGTCCCACCTCTCCCCAGAGGTCCCTGGATTTTAGCTGGGACAGGTGCCCACCCTTTTCTCAGACAAATCATGAAAACAGGCTGGAGTTGGGGGTCACTAGTAGAGGCTGAAAAAAAAAATGTAAAGCAAGAAGGAAAAATAGTTTACCCACCTTCCTGCCCTCCTTCCAGAAGCACCCAGAATGAGGGAGACGGCCAGAGAGCCAGAGATAGACAGAGAGTGAAACTGATGCAGAGATGAACCGACAGAGTTGCTCACTGACCCCCGACACCCACAGACACCAATACCAACACACATACATGAACACACACACACACACACACACACACACACACACACACACACCAGAAATGGTAAGAGACAGGAAACAGCAAGGAAGCAGCCATGGGCTAGATGAAGGCTCCACCAGCTTTCCAAGGGCTGCTCTACTCACCCACCACCTGCCCATCCCCAGCTCACCACCACCAGGGTCCGGCTGGGTGCCTCCATCCCGGCACCCTCAGTGCCCAGCCCCACTGGCCTAGGAGGTGGCCCACGCTGCCCGTTTCCCCCAACAGGCTCAGGTTACAAGCAGAGTTGCTACATGTGCAAACTGCTGGGGTATATTTAGCTCAGAGATGTGGCAAGGTCTACCCCCCACCCCACCCCATTCCTGCCACCTACTGGAGATAGGTGCTAGGAGATGAGAGGAGGAAGAATTAGAGGCTGGGGTCTGACCTCCTGCTTGGCAAATATGAATAAAAGGAACCAAGGTGCTTTCCTGCCAACAGGGATAACAACAGTATACTATCAATCTTCCTAGGGCTAGCTCTGGCCCAGTTCTGCAACAGGAGGGATGAGGGAGTGGTTGAAAAAAGGACTTCCCATTTGTTTGTGTACTTAGCAGACACTGGGATGAAGGCCTCCCTTCCTGAAATTCCCAAGTCAAGCTTAAGCTCACATGTGCCGAGTATAGAGACAGAAGAATCAAAAAGATCTTCACTTCAATCTGTGGGGGATCTTCTTGCCCTCTCTCCTGGCTCTGGGGAGAAAAGGGGCTCATCCCTAGAAGTGTCCTCCCACCTGCAGTCCTCTGCCCTCACATGCCCTGCCTGTTTCCTCTTTTATGTGTTCCTTGCCTTGTCTGATCCCAAGCTCCTCTCGCCTTTTCTGGGTACCAGGTTTTGCTGAGATGCTCAGTAGTCATAGCAACCACATGCCTCCTCACTGCCTCTCCCTGGGCCTAAGATGGCCCAGGGTTGAGAGTTGGAAGAGAAGCAAGTGGCAGCTTCCTGGCTGAGTGCAGGAGGCCCAGAAAACTACTCTCAGCACCTCTACCTTCAGAGAGGGGTGTGGGACTCCAGTCTAAAATCAAATACCTCCTGCCTACCCCATCACACTTTCCCTGCATGATTGGATGTCGGGAATGTGTCTCCCTGGCCCATACCTACCCAGGGCTCCAGGGACCTAAATGTCCCAGCACCTCATTCCCTAGCACCTGCCTCCACCCCACCCTGTCACAGATTCTGGGGGAGGACATAGAAGCAGACAGCCGGCAGGGGGAGTGGGTGACAGCCCGAAGCAAGCCAGGAGGAGGCAGGCCAGGCTGTCCCTGAATGAGATGACGCAGGCAGGCAGGCGCAGGGGCTGGTGGTTGGTGCTGGAGGAGGGGCTGGCGGGGGTGGGGGCTGAGGCAGTGGGTGCAGCTGACAGCACATCTAGGAGAGGTCACAGGGTGTCAGGGTGTTGGGGTGGTTCCAAGCAGGTGACAAATGACACGGCGAAGGGTGCCTGGAGAATGCTGCAGGCCAGCTCACCAAAGCTGTCCTCTGCCAACTAGCCACCTCCCACTCCCAGCCCAGCCTCCCCATTACCTGGCGGACAAAGCTGTTGGATGTTGTATCTGAGGACGTACTCCCATCTGACCGCTTGAACCGCCCTTTCCTCTTGCTGTATTTGCCCTGGAGAGGCCAGGAAGGAACAAGAGTGGAATCAGACAGGCCCTTTTCCTGCCCTCATCCCACCAGGGCTAATGATACAGCCAAGCCTGGGGAATATCATTCGTGCTCTGCACAGCCCCACTCCCACCCCTGCCTCTTCTAGCAGAAGTGGTACAGCCCAAAGGGAGGGAGGGTCTCTGATCTCACAGGAAGGGCTCCGACCACAACCACTGTAGGGAACAGTGAACAGAGCCTTGGAGGCTCATATAGGGACCCCCCCAAACCAAGCCACAGGCTGGGAAGAGGAACGTCTAAGGAGCTGGAAGCTCATTAGGCAGCAAAGCTAATTAAGATGCTGGGCAGGCTGCAGAGCCTCTGGGGAAGGGAGAGGCTGCCTGCAGTGCTGGGGGTGCAGAGAGAGAGCGGGGGAGAGGAAAGTCCTCTCTTGCTTCCTCTCAGCTCCAGTTGAGTGTGCCTGGACTCTAGAGAGAAGAAGGATTGATGGACAACCCAGGCCCAGCCTGGCTTCTCCCCTGAGTCCAATTCTTGTCTTCTAGTGTATGGAGGGGATGGTGGCTCTGGGCTCTTGAAGACCCAAAGCTACATTTTGAGGGAAGCACCATGAAACCTTATCTGGAGATCAAATACTAAACCTTACCTCTGGCTTAGTGCTCTGGTGGGTGGGCAGAGAGGCTTTTTCTCAGCCCCTTCCTCATAATCATAGTGGCCATATCTTTCCCAAGGGGCAAGAACTCCCTCTAATGCTTCCTCCCCAGCTGCCCATGCCCTATCCTACCATCCCCAAAGTACCAACCCAGCTACATCAATCTAAAAGCCCCTTAGCCCCACCCCAAGCCAAGTCTAAGACACAGTCCCACAGGTCCCTTGTAGGCTGGCTGGCCTCTCTGGAAGGGCCCCTGGCTGAGGCAGATGGATGCTACCTGAATATCAGGCAGCCATAGGTTTCAGGTACCTCTAGGCCTTCAGAGGAGGAGTTGCTTCTACACCCTCCCCTCCACACACACACACTTGGCCTTCACTCAGTCCAGAACGTTAGATGACTGAGGCTTAGTTCCCAGCTGAGTCCCTGTCCCAGCCTCCATCTCAGATTTCCTTCGGCTAAAGACCCTAGATGAGCCACAACTACACCAAGCTCTGGCTCATGCGACCTGGGTACAAGAAGGCAAATGGATAATGGGAGATGAAAGAATCTTAAGACTCTTCTAGGATCCTCCATCTCCTCCTCTTCTCTCATTCCCAAGGTAGTTTTCAGGCTCCCTACAAACCTAACAGATCCCTACAGTGTGCCCCAGACACTTTCACACCATCCACCCCACCCCTCACTGGGCAAAGGGAGTGGCGCTCAGAGGGACAGGGGACAGCTGAAAGGAAGGCCCCAGTCAGCTGCCTCTCAGGCTCCAAGGGGCCTGGGGTGGAGGAAGGAAGTATTTTTAGGTCTGACCTGACCCCCACCCCCAACACACACACCCATAACCACACTCTCATGGCAGATAACAGTTGCTCAGGCTGGCCACAGCAATGCAAGAGTTAATGCTATCCTTGGAGAAGGACGTGTCCCAGAGAAATCCCCTGGCATGACTGCCCTAGACTGTGCTGGTCACTCTATGGAAACCCACCTTGCCCAAGAATGCTCCTATCTGGGGGTAACTCAGGAGCTTAAGTGTGAAGGGGGGCAGCAAACCCCATTCAAGCAGGAAAACAGCTTCCTCCCCTCCAGGACAGTGAGTTGGCATCAGTCCAACTTTCCAAACTTTGGAGGCGTTTTAGGGGGGCTGGGGAGAAGGGCAAGCCAACGTGGGTGGGGGGGGGGAAGGGAACTAATCTAAGACCGAGAGAAGAAACCCAGGTGGCTGGTAGGGGGAATGAATCCCGGCTCAGGACTGCCCCCCCCCCCCCCCCCCCCCCCCGCTTCTCCACCCTCGAAAGCCAGTGTCTGCAGCTTCGAAGGCCTTGTTGGCACCGCCCTCTGACCATCGACTCGGCCATCTCCCGGTGCCACCTCCGCCCCACCCACCCCCGCCCGGCGCCCCCAAGCGTGCTGAGCGTCGCCCCCTTGCCTTGGCTCACTCTCGAGCCTCCTCTTCACAAGGCCCGGATCTCCCCGCCAGCACCCCCACTCTCCGTCCACCGAAGCCAGTACCGGAGCAGCAGGGACCGGGACGCGGGGGAGACGAGGCGGCGAGAGTGACAGGCAGCCCACCCGCCCCCTCCCCGCTCCGCCACACCGCAGCCCAACTCCGGGCCAGGCGCCCATCAATCATTAACCTGCGAGAACGGAGGGGGGGGCACAGGCACCCTTTTCTCCCCCTCGGCGTCGGCATAAATAACCCTTTCCTTCCCAGGACTCCTCCAGCCCATCCCGATGGCCACAACCACGGCTCCCTTCTTGCCTGCCCGCCTGCCCGGCACGGAGCCCTCACCTGTGGGCTGGGATCGAAGACCTCCATGGGGATCTCCTGGGAGGGTGGGTAAGAACCCCGGGACATGCTGCTCTTCTGGACCATGGAGAGGAGCCTTCCCTCCGGCCGCCGGCCCGGCCCAGCCGGGCACCCTCAGCGCATGGGAGAGGCGGTCGGAGACGAGAGCGGCGCGGCGCCGCGCAGCCCGCACCGAGCGCGGCCACCCAGCCGGGCCCCGGGCTGCCCCTCGCCGCCTGGCCTCCCTCCGCGCTCGCGCTCGCGCTCACGCTCTCCCCACCGCCGCCGCCGCCGCCGCCTCCGCCCCTGAAGCTCAGCATCTCCCCCCGCCCCCTCCGCTCCCACCGCCCCTCCCTCGCTCCCTCCCTCCCGCCGGCCCCGCCCCGCGCAGCCCCTCCGCCCGCCGCGCGCAGACAATGAGAGGGAGGCCGAGGGGGGCCGGCCCTGGGGATTCTGGAGGGGTTGGATCGCTGGCCTCCGGCCGGCCCAGGGTGACAGCCACCCGGTGGGGGTGAGGGTGTGGTGCGTGACAGGGGGTGACCAGTGTATCCCCAGCACCGGTTGGCATGGCTGGCACCGCTTCCTTTTCTGTCCTAAACCATTATTCCTATGGGTCTCTCTAACCGATTCCTGCTTGGGGGCCACCGGAACTTCCCGTTCCCGTTGATCCTGGGACCTGACTTTTAACTCCTTTCTTTCCAGCAAGGGGCCCCAGGTCGCCTGGAACCAAGCAAAATTGTTTCTGCTTCCCCATCCTGGCTGCTGGCTGGGGGCTGACGCCTGGGGTGCGGTGAGCCTCTAAAACATACAACAAGAAATCCCAGGGACCCAGGAAGGCATCTATGCCCTTGTTGAGTTCCTAGGGCCCTCAAGAGTCCATACCTTAGATAAGAAAGGAAAGAGGAGGAAATATGGAGCTGAGAGAAGTGAGACAGGCCAGAAATCAGATCTCATGATCTTTGACCTAGCATTGCTCTCCCTTTTTCGAAGGCCTGAACCTTGACTGATGGCGAGGAGGAGTAAGAGACTCCAGGTCCTTGGGGTTAGCTCAGGCTCTTTCTGGTTGTGTGGCAGTGGACAAATCACTGCATTTCTCTTGAAGCCTCAGTTTTCTTTCTTATAAAAATGGGTTTTCTGGGCTGGGAAGGTGGCTCAGTGGTAGAGTGCTTGCCTTGCATGCATGAGGCCCTGGGTTTGATTCCTCAGCACCAAGTAAGCAGAAAAAGCCAGAAGTGGCGCTGTGGCTCAAGTGGTAGAGCACTCACCTTGAGCTGAAGAGCTGAGGGACAGTACCCCGGCCCAGAGTTCAGACCCCATGACACACACACACACAAAAAAAAGGGTTTTCTGACACTGGTGATTTGCTCACTTGGGATTACTGGGAGGATAAGAATGAAAAGATTGCTAGATTTTGTGTAGATGTTCTAGGAGCAGAGCAGAGTCAAGATATGAGGATCAATTTCCTTCCTATTCCCCCCCTTTCCCTGTTCCTTGAAAAATTGATGAAGACTTTTCCAAGTCAACTGCCCCTAAAATAAGGCCAAATTAATGGAGCAAAGCCTCTCACCCTGTGTTTCTCCCCGCCACCTCCTTTTCTTTCATTCATCCTTTCTCTCTCTCTCTCTCTCTCTTTTTCCAGTCGTGAGGCTTGAACTCTGGGCCTGGGCACTGTCCCTCTGCTCTTCAGCTCAAGGCTAGTGCTCTACCACTTGAGCCACAGTGCCACTTCCAGCTATTTCTGTTTCTGTGGTGCTGAGGAATTGAACCCAGGGCCTCATGCATGCAAGGCAAGCACTCTACCACTGAGCCACCTTCCCAGTCAGCCCTCTTCCTTCCTTCTTTCCTTCCTTCCTTCCTTCCTTCTTCCTTCCTCTTTCTTTCTTTTCTTCCTTCTTTCTTTCTTTTGGCAGTCCTGGGGCTTGAACTCAGAGCCTGGACGTTGTCCCTTTTTTACTCAAGGTTAGCACTCTGCCACTTGAGCTGTATTTCTACTTCCAGCTTCTTGGTGGCTAGTTGGAAATAAGAATCTTAGAGATTTTCCTGACCAGGCCGGCTACCAGCTGTGATCCTCAAAAAAATCTCAGCCTCCTGAGTAGCTAGGATTATAACATGAGCCACCTGTGCCTAGCTTTTTTCTTTCTTTTCTTGTACCAATGATGGAGCTAGAAATCCAGCTCTAGGTCCTCTTGCTTCTGTTTTCTCAATCCCCAGTGGCACTCTATCACTTGAGCCATATCTCCAGATATGGCATTTTTTTGTTGTTGTTTGTCATGGGACTTGCTCTCTGGGCCTAGGTACTGTTCCTGAGTTCTTTAGCTCAAAATGAGCATATTACCACTCAAGCCACAGTGCCACTTCCAGTTTTCTGGTGGTTAATTGGAGATAAGAGTCTCATGGACTTTCCTGCCTGGACTGATTTTGAATCAGCATCATCAGATCTCAGCCTCCTGAGTAGCTAGGATTACAGGTATGAGCCATGGGTGCCCGACTAGATATGGCTTTTTGAGAATTCATTGGAGATAGAATCTCATGGATTTGTTTGCCTAGATTGGCTTAGAATTATGATTCTCAGCAGGGTGCTCAGGCTCATTTCTGTAATTCTAGCTACTCAGGAGGCTGAGATCTTCAAATGGTTGTTCAAAGTCAGCCCGGGCAGGAAAGTCTGTGATATTCTTCAATGAACTTCAAAAAGCCAGAAGTAGAGCTGTGGCTCAAGTGGTAGAGAGCTAGTCTCCTTGGGCAAGAAAAGTTCAGGGACAGCATCCAGATCCTGAGTTCAAGCCCCAGAACTGGCATAAAACAAAACAGAATTGTGATTCTCAGATCTCAGCCACCTGAGTAGCTAGAATTGTAGAAATGGTCCACCCTGGATTTTTTAAATTATTTTTTATTTTATTTATTATTATTATTTTTTGTCAGTGCTGGTGCTTGAATTCAAGGCTTGGGAGCTGTCCCTGGGCTTTTTTTTTTTTTTTTTTTTTCCCTCAAGGTTAGTGCTCTATCACTTGAACCATGGCTCCATTTATGTTTTTTTGGATAACTTATTGGAGATAGGAGACTCACAGATCACAGCCTCCTGAGTAGCTAGGATTATAGGCATGAGCCATGGATGCCCTTGATGTTTATAGTTTTTTTCTCTGATCATGTTACTTGGGGGAAGAACTGTGACTAAGCTGAAGTCCAGTACTATTTATTATACCAAGAATAGCTCCAACTGTGGGCTGAGATTCCCATTTACTCACTGGGAACAAGAGCCTGGCATGAGGGCTGGGAAGGTGGCTCAGTGGTAGAGCACTTGCTTTGCATGCATGAGGCCCTGGGTTTGATTCCTCAGCACCACATAAGCAAAAAGAAAAAAGCCGGAAGTGGCGCTGTGGCTCAAGTGGTAGAGTGCTAGCCTTGAGCTGAAGAGCTGAGGGACAGCGCCCAGGCCCAGAGTTCAGGCTCCACGACCAGACCCCCCCTCCCCCCCCCCAAAAAAAGAGCCTGGCATGACCAGGAAGCCTGAGCTTTGAAAACCCAGACAGATCTGTGTTTTTAATCTACCTCAGCTGCAAAATGAGGTTTTAAAAAGTTGTATTGTGCCGGGTGCCAGGGGCTCACATCTGTAATTCTAGCTACTTAGGAGGCTGACATCTGAGGATCATGGTTCAAAAACACCCTGGGCAGGAAAGTCCTTAAGACTCTCATCTCCAATAAACCACCAGAAAACTGGAAGTGGCACTGTGGCTCAAGTAGCAGAGCGCTAACCTTGAGCTGAAGAGCTGAGGGACAGTGCCCAGGCCCCCTACAACTGACAAGAAATAAAATAAAATGTTGTATTGTTATGAGATATTAGTTTTCTTTTTGGATTTCTCAACTATACTTGTCAGGAGAAGCTCAGATGGAGACAGAATGAAGGCCTGTCATGGTGTTGCACATGTGTAATCCTAACACTGGGAAGAAAGTTGCAGAGTTTAAGGCTAGCCTGGACAACATAGTACAATCATCTCTCAAAAACAAACAGGTGAAAAGAAAGCCAACTTGAACCAAACAACCATTGAAACCAGACCTCAAATCTGATTCTGTTTTTAAAGAATCCTTCTTTCCTTCCTTTCTTCCTTCCGTCCTTCCATCTTTCCTTCCATCCTCCCTCCCTTTCTTCCTTTCTTTATTTTGTGCCTGTCCTGGAGCTAGAACAAAGGATGTGGGTGCTATCCCTGAGCTTTTTTTTACTTAAGGCTAGCACTCTACCACTTGAGCCACAGCTCCACTTCCAGCTTTTTGGTGGTTAATTGGAGATAAGAGCTTCACACATTTTCCTGCCCCTGCTAGCTCCCAGCTGTGATCCTCAAAATCTCAGCTTTCTCACAGAAATGGATGAACAAAAAGTGAACAAATGCAGCAATGGTACTCACTGGACACTATATTGAAAATGAACCGTACAATTTGTGGGTAGGATGGGAGGGAAAAGCTGGGAGAGAATGAGAGAGGTGGTGACATTGTCCAAAAAGAAACGTACTCTTGGGACTGGGAAGGTAGCTCAGTGGTAGAGCGCTTGCCTTGCATGCATGAGGCCCTGAGTTCGATTGATTCCTCAGCACCACATAAGCAAAAAGAAAAAAGCCGGAAGTGGTGCTGTGGCTCAAGTGGTAGAGCACTAGCCTTGAGCTGAAGACCTGAGGGACAGCACTAAGGCCCAGAGTTCAGGCCTCACGACCGGACCCAAAAAAAAAAAAAGAAAGAAAGAAAGAAAGAAAGAGAAAAAAAGAAATGTACTCTTAGCCAGGCTCCAGTGGCTCATGCCTGTAATTCTAGCTACTCAAGAGGCTAAGATCTGTGGGTCGAGGTTCAAAGCCAGCCTGGGCAGGAAATAAACTACTCAGAAAAAGCTGGAAGTGGGTCTGTGGCTCAAGAGATAGAGCACTAGCTTTGATCAAAAGAAGCTCATGGATAGTGCCCAGGCCCAGAGTTCAAGCCTCAGGATAAATGTACTCTTTACCTGACTTATGTAACTGTAACCTCTCTGTACATCACCTTTATAACAACAATTTAAAAATTAAAAAAAAAATCTTAGCTTTCTGAATAGCTATGACTACAGGCATGAGCCACTGGCCTTGGGTTTCCCATATGATTTTTTTTTTTTTTTTGGTCAGTCATGGGGCTTGAACTTTGGGAC